CTTTCCTTCCTCCTCCCCCCCCCCCCCACCCTCCCCCCCTGGCCCCCTTCCTCCGGCACTCGCCCACACAGCATGCTCCCCATCTGATCACCCTCTACTTCTACCGGTGCCAGCACAACAAGGCACTCAGCCTGCTGAAGAACTTCGGCACCACGCAGGTCGGCACGCAAACCGGCGTCCAGCATACGGTGGCCTACCTGCAGCGGCTGAATCCCTTCTATGCCACTGGCGTGACGCCGGCCGAGGGGACGTCCGGCGGGCCGGCCCCTCTGGCCGAGCCGTCGGATGACACCGTCGGCCTGATCTTGGAGTACTCCATTTGGGTGCTGGACCATGACCCGACCCTCGGGGTGGACATCTTTGCCAATCACCCGCACGCCCTGGCCCTGGGGCCGGATCGGGTGGTGGCGCATTTGCAAAACCGCAAGCTCGGCATGCCGGCCCTGCAGCGGTACCTGGAGCGGCTGGTCCTGCGGGCCACGCTCCCGGCCTCCGAGCGCATCGACTCGCATGCCGGGTCCGGTGCCCATGCCGGCATGGGGGAGCTCCTGTCCGATGCCGGCCTGAAGACCGTGGACTTGAGTCAGCTGGCCCGGCGGTCTCCGGCGTCGCTGGCTGTGGCCCCGCTGGATGGGGTGGCCCCGGCGCCGGCCACTCGGGATCTGACCTTCACCCGGGGGCAGCTGGTGCACCTGCATGAGAGCCTCATTCGCCTGTACCTGGAGGGGGTGTTGGGGGAGATCCGCCAGGCGGCCGGGCCGGCGGCCTCGGCACAGGTCCAGGAAGACCCCCGGCGTTATGCCACCCTCACGCCGCTGCGGCTGAAGCTCCTGCACTTCCTGGTCACCTCGCGGTACTATGCGCCGGAGCAATTCCTCGGGCGCTTCCCCATCAATGCCCTTTTCGATGCGCGCATTGTCCTGCTCAGCCGCGCCAAGCTCCACGACGAGGCGCTCAACATCATCGTCCAGCTGCAGGACGACCTGGCCTCGGCCGAGCTCTATTGCGAGCTGCATCTGGCGCGTGGTGCCGACATGCCGGCCTCCCAGTCCCACCCGCAGGAAGACCTCTTCATGATCCTCATTCGGAAGCTCCTGGCGCCGAACTTGGTCGCCGGCCAGGAGCAGCCTCTCACGCCGGCCGAGACCGACACGCGCCTGCGCTTTGCCATTCACCTGGTGGAGAAGCACGGCCACAAGATGGACATTCTCCAGGTGCGCGCATTCCCGTCCTCGCGTTTGCTGCCCCTCGTGCCATTGTCGCTGGCTGTCCGCCGGCCGGGCAGGAGGGCGTCCATTTGCCGCGGCCGCATGCGCGTGTGCCTCCTTGCTGGGCCTCCGTCGGCCACCTGAGGCTCGGCTCGTCCCCACGCATGTTCCGGCATCTCCCCGTCGCTTCTCTCTCTCTCTCTCTCTCTCTTACACACGCACACGCACATGCACACGAACACGACTCCACTGTAGCTGGTCTCCGAGCTGCCGGCCGACACGCAGCTCGAGCGCATTGCCCCCTTGCTGACGGACCTGCTGCGGTCCTTCTCGACTGAGCGCCACGCGGTGCACCTGCAGCGGGCTCTCCTTCGGGCGTCGCATGTTCAAACTCGCGCCGAGCTGGCCGCCGCCAAGTCCCGGTACATTGTCATCGACCAGACGCGCACCTGCATCATCTGCTCCAAGGCCATCAGCCGGGCGGCTTTCGTCATCCAGACCGACGGCCAGCCGGTGCACTTCTTCTGCAGTTCCTACAAGCCGGACATGGCAACGGGCGCGGCCGGCCTCCCGGGCGCGGTGGCTACCCCGCCCCCGGAGCCGGCCTACTCCTCGAGCCCGCCCTTCGTGGTGGCGCCCAGCCCGGGGCTCGACTCGCCGACCTTCGGCGGCCAGTCCCATTACTCGCAGCCGCTGCCGCAGTCGATGCCCTTCCACCAGCAGCAGCCGCTGCCGCAGCAGCAGCCGGCCGGCGTCCCTCGGCCGACCGGGCAGGTACCGCCTTCGGCGGCTGGCGGTGGCGGCTGGTCCGGCGGCTTCAGCTCCGGGGGTGGCGGCACCTCGTCCGGCCCCGGCGGCAGCAACGGCATGATGTTCCTGCGTTGAGAGGGCGCCCCAGGGGGGGGGGGGGGGGGGGGGGGGGGGGGGGGGGGGGGGGGGGGGGAGGTGAGTGTGTGTGTGTGTGTATGTGTGTGAGAGTGAATTACGCATACACACGTACACACATAAACATATCTCATCGACACATGCACCCATGTACGCGCACCCAGGTCCCTCCCCACCTCACCCCCAAGGTCGTACTTTTCGGCACTCCTGCGAGTAGGCACACCGGGAGGCAGGGCGGGGGGAGAGGTGCTCTTCGTGGCCGGTGGCTTCCCCGTGTTGCCTCCCATCCGCCCCCTCCCCCACCCCCCACCCCCCACCCCCCCCTCGCGTCCCCTCTCTCCTGGCCTGGCGGCCACTTCCGATAAACATTTTCTTTTCTGAATTTACCCGTCCCCAAAATGTGCGTGCTGGCGGGTAAAAAGCCCGCGAAAGTGATGCTGGCGTGTGTGGATTAACATGCCGGCCGAATGGGCCCCAGTCGCGGGTCTTCAGAATGGTGCATGTCTTAACTGTTCGGGGATGGCGAGGGGGGGCCCTGCTGGGCCGACGGACACGCGCCCTGGCGCCGCGCCACAGCTCCATGAACCGAAAGGATGGGCACCTCCTCATCGGAAGCTCCTGTGGCTCAGTAGGTAGAGCGTGGGACTGTTAATCCCAAGGTCCGCGGTTCGATCCCGTGCGGGAGCGCATCCTTCTCTTTTTGGGTGCTCGTCATTTTGCCCTTCGGGGGAGAGGACCAGCCATCATTGGTGCATGTTCGTGCTGTGTGGATCTGCTGCATATGTGTGTCTGTATGTGCATGTGTTGCGGCAAGAGTATGTGCGCCCGCGCTTGTGACGAGGGGCACGGACGGGAGAGAGAGGGCGAGGGGGGCCAGGGGGGAGGGCATTGCGCCCGCCCGGCCCCGCCTTCCGGGGAGCAGGGGTCTGTTTTGGGTCTCGTGTTTTTTTCTTTTGGGCGAAGTTGCAGGGTGTGGGGGGTGGGGGGGGGGGGGGGACGGGGCGGGGCGGGGTAGGCGAGCCCCCCGCCCCCAGACGCGCCGGCGCCGGCCCGCAATGAGGGAGATGATGATGCGGAATCCAATCATCATGACTGGTGGGCGAAGGGCCACTTGTCGAGGGAGGCCGGCGCCGTGGGCACTGTGGTGGGGGGCGGGGCGGGGGTCCTGGTGTGCCACGTAGGGGGCGCGCGCATCATGACACACCCCGGGCGGCCGGGGGGGGGGGGGCCAACCACCACCATACCCGTATGCGTAACATGCAACCGGCGAGGGGCGGAAGCCG